CCCAAAGCCTCTTGAACACTTCAGAGGTGTGACTCCATCACCTTCCTGGGCAATTTTATTTAATGCTTAGCCAACCTCTCGATGATTTTTTCTTTCCTAATATCTAATCTCATGCTCCCCTGGTGCAATTTAAGGCCATTTCCTCTTGTCCTTTCATTTGATACATGGCAGAAGAGATGACCTCTACCTCACTACACCCTCCTTTCAGGCAGTTGTAGAGAACAATGGGATCCCTCCTGAGCCTTCTTTCCTCCAGGCTCCCTCAAATGGGTGACATAAATCCATTTTCCCCCACCCATTGCATCTTTACAAGGGTGTCTTCTAACCTGGTTTCATTCAACTCAGTCAATCTTTGGACCACATCAGGCCACACATAGCCAGTCCTGGTCCTCATGAAGGTGCCTCTTTGCATTCCAAAGACATTAAATTATGAATCTGCTTCTTGCTTTTCTTCATTATGTTCCAGCCTGCCCACTGGAAGCCTTTTTTACGGCATGGTTGCTCCTCCTTGTCTGCCATGTCTACCTCTTCTAGGAAGTCACCTCCTCCTTGACCCTTCATGGTTATAAAGGATAGAAGAAACCATCCTCCTCTCAAAAGGGCTGCAGATGAGTCAACTGTATCCTATTACAAAGAAATATAAACTCTAAACTGAGGATAAGTAAAGCAGACACTGTCAATTGTACCTTGGCATTATCCTGATTTTCCAGTTGGGAAACAGGAGCCAAGACAAAGAGACATCTAAAGTAATAAAGACTACTGTGAGACCTCTGACTTCCCAGGTGCCTTGCCCAAATCTCCAACTTGACCGGCTTATATGGCATGCCATAAAAACTGAGATGAGTCCATTTAAAAGTCTTTCATGTCCTGGAAACACTCAAAGAACTTACGCACTCACAAGAATGCTGTTTCTATGCATATACATATCATTRGGCTTAATTAATCTGATGTACAAGATTCCGTCTTAAAAATGTCACAAGCCTGGAGGATGCTTTTCCCCACCCACAGCAATCCACAGCATTTTGTTTTTCTCTCTATTTCTCAAAATAAAATCATGGSCAGGCCAGTTTTGTTCAGAGATTAATTTGATTTTTGACTGACTTCACAACCTTCCCAGATTAACCCTGTGGACTGCTGTATAACCATCAGGCCTCTGAGCTGCCTTTTCATTCCAAATCAATGTTTTCTAAATAATTATTTACCCATGAACAGGTCACAGAGGCCCTATGGCAATGTTTTCCTCCCCCTTCCATATGCAGAATCATTACTCAAAAGGGCAATGTGCCTCAGGTTTCGAAACTGCTCACCAAGTCATCTTTTCTTTAAGCCACATTAGCAGCACCAAATCCGGAGAAAGCCTGTCCAGCTCTTCAGAGGAAACAAATTAATKAAATTCCATCAGTGAGAATGAAGTACAGAGGCACCATGAGTGTCTGAAGTTCCTGAGCCCCTCCTAAGCTTTTCAACAAATGGGCCCAGGCAACTGTAAACAGCAATTCTGAAAAGCACAAGGAGCAGTACCATGTAATTTCATTTTTCTATACATCAGTTTTCTTATCCAAAAAGTGTAGATTTACCAGCCAGCCTGAATCACTCAGCATTCTGGAGCTAAAGAAAGCTGTTCCAGGCCTGAAACAGGGCAAGCAGGGGGAAAGGGAGAACCTCACAGAGGTGAGTCCATGGCATCAAAGTGTTAGAGTTGCACAGTGTTTTATGGTGAAGGAACCCACTCCTCCATATGGTTTCTGCTGCATTGAGTAACACCTCTACTTGGACCTGTCCTGAATTTAGCCACAAAGCAAAATTCCCTTGCAAGAAAGTTCAAGTGCTGCAAAAGAATTTGACTTTATCTTCCTCACCAGTTCTGTCAACTCCGTTTTCCTCACCAGTGTTCCCCACCACTTCCTTTGCAGCTTCACTCCAATTATAAATATCTCAGCATGACAGATCTGACCTTCACCTGGGCTGAGTTTAGCTGGTGGAGGAGCAGGTTTCTTCTCCTTCAAAGCTGGTGACCTGGACATGGCAGTGGGTTTGTGAAAGGGACAATAACTGGAGATGATGCATGTTGGAGCAAACACGTAGAGGGCCAAGACCTGAGCTCGTGACTCTTCTTGGCTCTGATGAGATCATGCAGAGCAGGACACGCTCAGGGCTTGTGCCACCACTCACACAAAGTTTCACAGTGAATAAAAYAGATGATTATGGCTAAAAGTCAGATCCTAGAGGAAATGGAGAGTAAAATATGGAAAATGGAACACTGAAAGTGTCTGGGGGAAGTGGTGTTTTGTCCTATGCCTGACTGACGACAGCATGAATCAACATAAATCAAAGGTTCCTTCCCCCTAGCTCTTAAAAACTTTGAACAGTAGGAGACCCACCAATTTAAGGTTAAACAAAAAAAAATGAAAGGATTGATTAGACTGAGGGAGTAAGTTATTGCATGGACTTTAGTACAGGAAATGCTGTATTTAACATTCATTACTTGCCTTTATATTAAGTAAAATGTCAGAACACCTGAGCTTCCTCTCTGCATTTCAATCACCAGAAGTGGGTTATCAGCAGAGCAAAGAGATCACCAACACAAGAGCCAAGCTCTCCACAGTGGTGTGTGGTGGGAAGGCAAGGCATAAGTGGAAAGCAGTTCAGACTGGCTGTGYTGATTTTTTCCCCTGAGGACRATCAGGGCTGCCCAGAGATTGTGCAKCCTSCTAGGAGGTTTTCAAGGTCCACCCAGATAAAGCCATGAGCAGCCTGGTCTCATCTCAAGGCAGWTGCTGTTTAGAGGAGAATGTTGGACTAGAGACTTCTGAGATGTTTTCCACCCTGAATTATCCTGGGATCATACTCTCACTGAAATTGTTTGCRTATTAACTGATCCTGTATTAGAAAAGAAAGCAGCTCCATAAATGGTAGTGAGGACTCTGTCCCAGTACTGGAATATTTGGGTTCTTCTGCCKTTGGTAATGGCCAATTAAGTACCACTGCAATTACATTGCAATTGGGATTACACATAGTTGTCTATTACCTTGATATTAGTATCCAATTTTTATTTCAGTCTGTCAGCAAGCCAGTAATTTTCAGCACAGAAATTTTGCATCCTGTACATACTACATATCATATGGTGTTTTGATGTARTGCCCCTTAAGAGGAAAAAACACACATGCAAGGAAATTAATCTTCATCTCCTGGAGCTGTTCAAACATCCAAGGTTCCATCAGACTCTTCCAGCTTAGCGCCATCTTCCTTTGCATTTCTAGGGGATGAGAACATAAGGAAATGCCATTCCTTTTACATATAAACTGTGCTATTACTCCAACTACTTCTGAGATATTGGTACTGTTTGTTCTCTTAGCAGCAACTTTGAGATACTCAAGCAGTCACATATTGCTCAGAGAAAATGCAGAAGAAAAACAAGCTGAAGTTTTGGTGGAGACCTTAATTATGAGCACATAAGGATAAGTACATTTTTCTTCATTAAGTCCAGAATGTCCAGCCTGTACAAYTCAGCAAGAATTCCTAACCCTTCTCGAGTAATGTCATTGATGCTAGATATTTAGTGCAATGATTTCAGCAGTGAATGTCAAATATCTCTCAAATATTTGTTTGCTTCTTAGCTCCTAAACTGACAAGCTTTAATTTAAGCAGATATAAGTGAAATCTGCCACAGCACATGTTGGCTAAGATATTTAAATTATACAGGCCACAACGAGAGAGACACAGAGCACATGCAATCCTCATTAGAATCAGTGTGGCAGAGGCTCTTCTCATTACAGTTATTTAAACAATAAATTAATTAAAAACTCCGCAAAAAGCCCAAGCACAAAACTCTTCAAGATGTGTGGGAATAATGCCACAGTCTTGCAATCTGCTCTTCCTGGAAAAAAAATGGCAGTCCTCTCATTTCRTCTTTATTTCTCTTTTCCCTACAGATCTCATGTGGAGTACATAATACATAACCAAGCAAATGGGGCAACAGAAAGTGTGAGGATATTAATTCCTGCATCATGCCTTTGTGCAAGCTCAACAGACTCCAGCAGTGTAGGCAGTGGCAAGCTAATCTGGGGGGGGCTCCACAAGGTGCTGAAAGAATTGCCTGCTCTTTCCACATGAGTCCTTAACATGTCATACCTCCCTCAGTCCGTTCTCTTGTCTTCAGCCCATTCTTTAGGGATACACTAAGCTTTACCACCCCAGCCTTTGAGCCTGTTGGCACATTTCAAGCCAGCTACTAGAGGACTAGAAGGTAAAAGATGAAATTACACTAATCATGTGAAAATAAGAAGCCAGTATAAGAAATAATTGTGGTGCTTTTTACAAAAAAGATCTCTAAGAACKCTTTCACCATATTTTTAGTCACCAGAGAATCCCCAGAATCAAGCACTTTGAGGAATTTCCCAGCTGCAGGCAAACTTTGGAATAGAGCTCATACCTTCTTATACACAGGATAATCCAGAAACAAGATCCAAAGCCATAGAAAACCAGGCYTCTCATGTGCCACTCATTAATCCCAGCTATCAGACCCTAATTGTAGGCCTGCTTTTGGATAGAACTAATTGTTATTTCCACCTGTCCCAGCCATTGGAGGACAAAGGACTGATCTAAACCCTCAGCTGGGTGCCACAGTGCCACCTGGGTAAGTGGAGACGCCGAAGAGCAAGGTACCTTCTGTCCCTCCTCTAGCCACTCAATTCTCCTCCAGAGCACTTACTGAGGAACCTCTAATTCTTCTGCTGAGTGTGTCCAGAAATAGAATTATTTTGGCTACCTTGGGACGAACACCTTGGAGCAATCCTACTCCAGAAGGSTTTTAGGACTTAGGAACGAGGTCCTCTGGTGCTGACATTCACTCAGTACATGGCTGGTGGAGACAGGAGTACCCCACTGAATCTATTCTGTTCAACAACCAGCAACGCCTCAGCTCCCGGGGCTGAGTGAGAATGCACAGAGGGGCCTCTCCTTTTGGCATCTGGTCACTTTCTGCTCTACGTGCCTTCATCCCAGGTATTCAGAATTATCCTCTTGGTCTGAAGCCAAGGRAACTGGAAATAACAGATGATGATAATGACTAACTACAGACATCCTGCTAATGCCCTGCTGAGATGATCAGCCAATAARTTTCCATCCAAAGATAAGTGCCTAAGAAAATGGAACATGCCAACCTCTCTCCACTGATGGAAGAGGCAGCCTGGACCATTAAACTTCTCTCTGTTACACAGTACCTTTACAATGTGTCCTTTGGACTCCAAAATATCCAATTCGCTTCTGAAATCCTTTGAACTTGTACCAATTTTATTTTAATAAATATTCCAGACAAACTTGTTAGATTCAGTTGGGATACATTTTKGACTCTATAAATAATGTTCACATATTTACATTATAAATTTAGTGCCGAATTTCAAGTCTTACTTTTTAGATGCCAAATGCTTTTAGCAGAAAGCTTTTTAGATAATAGGATCTTTCTTGTATTGTACATCCATAAATTTCCATCAGTGATAGGGGTGAGTTGAAAGATCAGTTCAACACTGCTGATTAGTTTCTTAATTAAGTTATTGTGTTTTAAAAGGGAAAAATAAATACTGGTCACAATCTAAATGGAAGCAAGCAGAACTTGAAAAGGCTGCCCAATGCAATAAAACCAAGGAAATGTTGTGTTTTTCTCTCTGCAGAAGTGCTTTTGCAAGTGGCTAATGTGGTTTTTCTCCCTCTCAAGAAGTGGACTGGGAATGCTGCACTGAGCTGTCATGAAAGCAGGGGTCAATCAGGGGTGTTTTGTGAGGTGGGGAACGAGATTTACAGCAACATAATCAGTTGGCCAGTTCATCACTGCACACTACACGTGTCCTAAATTAGGARAGCATGAAGCGGGTGGATATATTTTCCTGTTTCATGAGAAGCAAATTGAGCGAGTTGTCCTTGTTCCAGTTCTTTGAGACTCAACAACACATCTCCCAGGAATCTGTAAATCAGCAGCAGGTGATTTTGTTGGCTGTCATAGCATGGACAGGCAGAGCCAGTTATGACTTCTATCAGGCTTTTTTTTTTTTTCTGTTCTTGTTCCTTAAATTCTCTTTCCAGGAAGCTGCAAAACAAACCACAAACTAATAAGTAAAATAGGACAGCACAAAACAAAATTCCAGAGATAAGAGACATGCTGATAACATAGTCTTTGACATCTGTTTGGGAGCATTGCTGAGTTAAATATCAGTCTTTTACCAGATTAATAAAAGTATGCCTGCTCTCTCTCTCTCTCTGTTCATTTATGTAGCCTCTGTCAGTGCAGTATCTGAGCGCCCCTGGAAATACCAACGAATGTACCTCATTGCACCCCTCTGAGGTGTAAAATACAGAGATTAACAGACCTCTGAGGACRGATGTAAATTATATGGCAGAGATTGTGGTTGCTCTTGACTGCAGCACACATCTATGTTACAGGGTCCCCCACCTATTTGGTACATAAGGGGTTGTTACTGATTGGCTCTGTGGCCACTGGAGAGGGAACAAGATTTACATCAAAGACAACTGTGTTGGACATGAAGGGAATCTTCTAGCTGCAGAGAAATGAGACACTGGGACAGGATATTCACAGCAACACTTGTCCTTCAAATAGGTTTTCTAAAAAAGAGGCGATAAATAATCCTCAGGAATAGGTCTTTTGAAAGATGGAAATGCCCTGCTGTGTTCTATGCTGTGGACATGACAGSCTAGGGCATTACCTGGTTTGTTTTGCTGTCTCTAGCTTTGCAGCGCATATCAGGACTCCAGTGGTAGACAAGGAGTGRTGACACTTATTATCACCATGGTAAAATAGAAATGATTTAAGTCTGTTGTGTCAGAAGACACACAAAATTATATACCTCGTGAAGTTCCTGAAATAGAGCAAGCAGCTACAAARGGCCAGGGACAGCAAGGCTGAAGCACAGTCAGTGGGACATGGGGGRACACCTCTGCATAAAGAGACTAGGGCTTTGACACGAACTGTAGGGCGTATGTAAGGTGTGCTGAAAACTAAAGTAACTTTCAGGAATTCTCTCAGCAGCTGATCAGTCAAGAATCCATGAGATGGTAAAGCAAATGAAACAGCCACATCTGCATGGAAGATTTTATGGGTCCAGCCCAACTCCTTTTTTAATTCAACGGAGTGGTTCCATCTGACTTGAGGAGCTTGGGCTTGGCTTCCCCCTTACAAAAAGTGACCCAAACTTCGTATTTTATAAGGGGTTGAATTCCTGTGGAATGCCAAGAAATTTAGCACCCTCCAACGGAGTCTCCTGTTACAGCATACTTGCGTGGGATTTCTGATCATCTGGAAGCCTGTCCTGACCCAAAGTCATGGACAAATAGTGACTGCACAGATGCAAGCAGAGTGCTCTCAACTTTCTTTATGCACACTCAGCAGCTCACAGTGCCCAAGCATTAAAATGCAGATATCACATTTCTGAGCTGGGCTTTCCAGTCAAAAATGTATCTCTGCATAACTCCCCCCAGCCCTAATTTTGCAATGCACCTTTCTCCTTGACTGGGGTTTGCCTCCACCCTCTTTATAGAGATAAAATAATTGAAACAGTTGACATAGAGCATGTGTTCTGAATTTATGTGTTTATGTGTTTTCTAGGGGATTTTTTTTAAATCGAGGGGAAATAGAGAAGAAAAAAAAAAGATCATAAATACCAAACATACCTGCCTATCTATGCAGCAGAAATGAAGAGGATCCGGGAACAAATACAGCCCAGTTCAAAACAAGGGGTTGCATTCTGTGGGGAAAATACATGTCACATCATGTAAGGGTATGTGAGTTTTCTATGGATTAAGCAAACACAAGCATATGCTGCAAGTCAAAAAAAAAAAAAGAATAAAATCTTGTACATGTGTAGAGATACAGATATCTGTCTCCTTCTGCCATTTCTAACAGCATGCAGAGCTAGAGTTCATAGCAGGATCTGGCACTGAGGAACCAACACGTGCATCTGAATGTGGCCCTGCAGAGACAGATACATTTGTTTGTAAGCTGATACTGCATCAGGGGTGGAATATGCAGCTCAWTTCTTCTCTTTTGGCTAATCTGGGGAAGGCTCAAGTCATGAAGCCCTGGCAGCATACCACCCATCAGGGCATTCCTGACACAAGCCTCAAAATCTGAGCAGCCAAGCTCTCAAGTATACACCTGAGAGCTTCCATAGCCCAGCTCACCACGTTACAGGATCGCAGCTGTGATAACTTGATCTTCACTACTCTCTAAGGAGAAATCTAAATCAAAAGCTTTTCAGAGCTATAGGCCTCACTTTTGTGTTCATGAGAGAGAGCATTTTTATGTGGCCATGGTATGTTGCATTTATCTGAAGATTACGTTCAGCTATTGCCTTTCCAAACCTTTTGATACAAGTGCCTGTAGATKTTCACTAGTCTGTCAAGGATAAAATGAATGCAGGGGAATCTTGGAAAGACATCAAGCAGAGAGAAATCTAGATCACAATAACATGATTTCAAGTTTAGATAAAGATTCAAACTTATCTAGGGCCKGGGGTTTAGTTGGCCCTTTTCTCTCCACAACATTGATGCTTACAAAAAACAATTTTAGAGATGCAACTTCTGTGACATCGGCCATTGAGGAACTCATGTTGGTTTTGGTAAGTGCTGTAAAAACTGGTCTTTTTGGCATAGAGCTCACTTTTGCCTCTGGGAAGCAAAGAAAGTAAWAATAGATCAGTAACTACAGCTCAAGAGGCAGATTTACATGGTCCGTGTAAATAAAAAATTTGGCCAGACTTCTTTTATTTCCAACTGTTTCATCTTCATACTATCWTTTCAGCTTTACATTAAAGAAATCAGCCTCAAATCAAAGGCTAGATGTGAAATATCCCTTACCAGCCCTTTTTAACCCCATAGCTGCCCGTTTACAGAGCTTAAGMTCTGGTTCAAAACCAGTCACAACTTCTAAGCTGCTCTCTTTTAACAGAAATTTGAATCTTTTTCTAAGCTTGTTGGCCATAAAACATTTCTCAATTTCAAAATAGCCTGGCTTCCCACATGCATCCCAAGGTCACTTCTGGAGAACATGTCCTAAGTTAGTACACACCACAGGAAACAAAAGGTAAMATTACTTTTCTAGTGTGACATAAACTTTTAAGCCTCTTTCCAGCCCACCTCCTCTCCCATCTCCCGCTAAGGCCAGAAACTTCTTGCTACAGATTTTTGGAACTCGAGGTTAGAAACAGCCATCAGAGGGATGAGGGGAGCACAACTGCTCTCTCCTCACATGGTGAGAGCTACGGGAGAATCGACAAGAATCTGTCCCTCCCTTGACAAACATTGCTGTCTGGATATCGAAACTAGTTGCACATCTCCCCTCTCCTCCCTTGATGAGCAAATCCAGACCAGCGATTCAAAATCTATATGTTCTATATCACCTTCCTTCCTGTTTTAACAAAGACAATTTCAGAATCTGATAAGCTTGAAAACTCCCAGGGCTCAGCACAAATTGCTTTAAATCCCAGTGGGAAACAGATTCTTCCATTTCAGTCACATGGAGTTTGCTCAGAGAGCTGGCGATTCCGAGGAGACTGAACCACAGTTTCTGCTGAGCCTGGGCCTCACTCCACAGTGGCCAGGGCAATGAGTAAAAATTTATTTTTTCCCACAGTGGTGGAATTGAGACATCATTTGCGTAAATATGTTTCCCCATGTTTTAAATGACAGCTACTAAAGGGTCTCCCACACTTTGGGAAGCTGACACACACCTTGGTTTAGTCACCTACTCTGGAAAACTTGGATCAGGTCATGTACCTCCAACAGTTGTCTCAGACTGGATACCCCTGCTGACCTTTAAAACAGAAAACATTCTCCTAAGGTGACGGAAAGGAGAACCTTGATAAAACATTATAGATGTATACAAACATCTCCTTCAGTTAGCACCTGGCAGCCTCCTCACCAGTTCCACCCATCCTCACACMTAAGCCCACACATACAAACCGTTCRCTGCCATCCCAGASACCTTCTCCATGGCCTKCTGGGGGTTTATGCTCAATCCTGATCCGGCCTCAGCCCTCTCCAACCAGCAATACCTTTAACAGTTTGCTGCCTAGCTAACTGAAGGAAAAAGGGGATTATTCTTTGTCACCCTCAGCCCAGCAAGAATCTTCTTTCTTAGTCACTCCAGCCCAATACCATACAAGGTCTCAGGCTTTCTGTACAGGCAGTGGATGTTGTTGCAGCCCTACAGGAGACAAATGTATTCCCTTTCTCCTCAGGGAAAAGGCCAGCACGCAGAGTCTGGTCTTCCATAATACTCAGAAGTCAGCACAGTAATCAGCAAGAGCCAGAAGCTTTTTACAGAGCCCCATATCAAGGACTGCCACCAGGATTTAACAGTGTCCAACACAGGCAGATGTGACCAAAGAAATCCAGCTGCTGCCAAGCATCTTAAGCAGGCCAGCACTCTAAGGTGGTCTTCTCACACCTTCTCCTGAATGTGAGCTGCCCARGCATGCCAAAGGGGTCAGCATCTGCATGGATGTGAGTTCAGGCAAYTGCAAGCAAAGAGAGCACAAATCTTGGAACAGAAAAAAAAAACCCAGTCCTCACCACTCCTTCCCTGCCTCATCTTCCCAGCTGTTGTGTATTCACATGCTAAGGAACTCCCAAACCTTCTCTAAGCACAACAATTTTCAGTGTTCAACTCCAAGTCCTGAACCATTCCTGCTGGCTCCCAGGAGATGCTCTGTGAGGTCCACATGGGGATGCCATGCTCAGGAGTTTCCCAAATGTTCTGCTCTAATTTTGAGGGTGTGTCAGGTAGAATGGCAAGCCCCACACTGCCCTCTGCAAAAGCTCTTCTGTCCTTTCCACAGCCTTATGAGAAGAGGCAGTTTTCCCATCTGTTCAGAACTGAAACACCTTGCTGCTCGCCCCCAGCTTTCCTAACAAAACAGAACATGCACTAGCAGCAAAACAAAACAGCCACCTCCCTTTACAGCAARTTACACAGCTTTGTCTGCCATGTTTTTCTACTCTAAAATCATCCCAAGAATGAAAGCAGTAAGYRGGCACYATCAGGAGGCTGGCARTAAGTATCAGAACAAGTTCCACCAYAAAGCACTTGYRYAGCRACAGATSCAYATGCAATGATKAGGGCAYAGAGAAGCTCATGAGAAACTCAACCATTTTGTCATCAGAGAAGGACTAGAATATTGTGCCATAAATAAGGGTGGGGGCCACACACTGAGCAGTAAGGAGAAAACTAAATATTGAGTTGCTGCTCAGTAATTGAGCACAGCCCATTCTGTGCACGAAACAAGGCAGGGATGAAAGGGGGGAAAATAGCAGAAGTGTAAGTAATTAAAGGCCACGACAGAAAAACATTCCCACAGGGGCCAACAGAAGATGCCAGGGATAGCTGGAGTTCTGGCATCTGCTGGCTTGAAAGTGTCATGCATGTGCATGTATAAGATACTGTGTGTGTGTGTGTGTGTGTGTGTGTGTGTCTGTGTGTGTGTGTATTCCTGCTGTGCATGTGGGATTGCTCCGTGCACAGGTCATCTACATAAAATCAGTAGCCAGGTCCCTTGAGGAAATGCTAGATGGATGGGAACTGAGGCTGGAAGGACAAGTGTCAGAGGTCYAGCAACAAAAAGCTATGCAGAATAACAGAGTGTTTCCTTATACTGTTCATGTACAGATACAATTCTCACTACTGAGGAATCTGTGTGGGTAGCAGGGCATTTAAAGTCAAAGKTGCAGGTTACCTGCGAGAAAACAACAGCCTTGCCTCTGCAACTTTGAGGGCATCCTTTAATTAATTTCTTCTTACATGTGTATGCACGCAGCTTCAGCATGAGCAATGGCTGGAGTAGGAGAAATTCATGATACCTCTCTTCTAGTGACAACTTTTAGTAGGAAGCTGGGTATCCCCCAACCATTTACACCTCTCTCCAGAATGCTGTTCATCTGCAGATCATTGATCAAAATGATCACAGACCAAAAAGTAGTTGTTCCAATTCTGGGACAGACTAGAGGATGAGACAAGTCCTGGGTGGAGCTGGAAAAAATGACAGCAGGCAGCAGATGGGAAGTGGAGGTAGCCCAGGGAGGAGAGGCASTGGAAGCCTGTCTTAGGAGGTAGCAGCTGGGATGAGAGGGGAAGCGGTCAGTTTAASGGGAGAAGAAAATACAGAGCAGTAATGTTGTTTACTCTGGTCACTTCACTGCAAAATACAAAAAAGGAGCACAGAAAAGGAAGATCAGAAAGCAGCTTTTGACTCCTCTGATTTCTGGCAWCCTGGGAAGCCTTGTTCTGTTCATTAAAATAACAACCAGCCTWCACCATAGTGAGAGAGGAGGGTGCCAGCCACCTCTCTTCCAAGACTGACCAAAGCTGCCAGGAATTTTCCCACTGGTTTGGGCCTAAGGGTGCCAGTAAGCCGATTGCTAATCTCTAACACATGCCTTGTCTCAGCAGTCGCAGTGGGGTGAGACACAAGGGTTTTAATTTCTGCTTTACATCCTCCCYGCTAACGCCCAGCACGCCTCTCCCTCCACCACAAGGCTTTGCGACCTCTGCTTCTCCTATTTTCCACCTTCTTTTTCCAAAAGTCAGCCTCAGGGCCGGGGAAGGTGGTGAAGCACTGTGCRGCAGCAAAACCCAAACACGGCTACTTAAAGCAAATATTATTTTTCAACTGAAAGACTTTAAAATTTTTTCTCCCCAGTTTATTTTTAGAACAATGGTAAAACATACAAATCCTGGAGGGCTYGAGCA